TAGACGTTCTTTCTGTACTTTGAGAATACCCCTCTCTGTCACTCCGTTTTGCGGATATTTAGCTTTGAGATCACCAATATCTCGTCCTGACGTTCAACTTGCCATTTATGAGTACCTTCTTCCGACACTTTCTTTTCAAGATATTCGCTTCGACTTCACCAATAGATGTGTCTCGTCCAGACAATTAATTTTGCCTTTGTGCGTACTTGCAAGATATTCGCTCGTAAAGTTTTGTAATCACCAATAGATATATTTCTTCCAAACGTCCCAATTGCCCTTTGTGGGTACCATTCTCCGACAATCTGTACTTGAGATTTTCTTTCGCTTTAGTTATAAATCTGTCATTATAATTATTTTTGTTCAATTTTTGTTAATTTTTCTATATGTCTGCGCGGCTTTTAATGAACAATCTTTAAGTTTGTCCTGTATTTAGGCTAGATAGTCTGTTTGGACAATAAATTATTATTATTATTATAATTATTATTATTATATAAAGAATTAATATCCGTTCACGATAAGGCATCGAGGAGGACTATTGTTAATAGAAATTACTTCCTTTCGTTGATACCTTTCATTAGAATACCCTGAAGGATAAAACCAGGTCCCCCCACTCCCTCTTTTGATAAGGAATCAGAAGGAAGGACGGTAGTTGGTAGAAACCAGTTCGTTTTGTTGAGACCTTTGATTAGAATACCATGAAAGATAACGCCCTCCCTCCTCCCCCCGGCCACCTACTGATCTCGAAAACGAGTCGCGCAGAAAAGTTACAGTTTGTACAAACCAATTCATTTGTGGTGAGACCTTTCATTAGAATTAGAATAAAGGGTAGAACGTGTGTTCACTCACCCCTATTTTCAAAAATTCTACATGGCACCACTAAAGGCATGCATATGCAAAATCTGAGACCAGTTGGTTGTCGCATGTAAAAATTATCCATGTCTTACTTTCAAAAACAGCATCTCATGAAATAATTCATGGCCCCCTGCCCTTGAGAGAGCGAAATTTGATGCCGGTCTGGCGTATTGTAAAAAATTTCAGGACTAGGGCCATTCCCAAAGTAGGTCCGGACGGGAGGACTAAACGCAAACAATGGCACATTTTTTAAATTTTTAAAAAATCCGCTAAAAATTCATATAACACACTTTAAAAAAAGGGTTTACATCCTAATATATCTAACATGCCCCACAAGATCTGGATTGTTCTGAAGCAGAAAAATATTATACTGATTATTACGCTGACAATTGGTACATTGGCAGAACGTTAGCAGTGTAACAGAAAAGTACTAAAAGACATTTTTGAAAAGTGCCCTAAATGATTTTGTGTGGCCAAAACCAAACGATATCGATGATATTGACGTTAAACTATTTTTTGGACTCATAGAGGAGATCTCGGAGGAGATATCCTTTTACCATCGAGGAAAACGACAGAACTCACATTGTTACCGCTTATAAAAGGTTGAAGCGTGAAAAAAATGCTTGAGAAAATGTCAATTGCAGTAATTTTCTGGCGATTATAACAATTGTTAGCGATTAGGATTTTATTGTACACAGATCTAAGGTGTGGTTAACCCCTCGTTTATTAACGAGCTCCTAGCGAGTCTCTGTCTGTCTGTCCGTCTATCCGTTAGCACGATATCTCGAAATCGAATGGACCGATTACGATGAAACTTTGCAATTGGATTCTGTATCAAATTTGTAGATGGGAATTGGCAATGTAGGGCAAAAAAGTAATGAAGGACCTTAGTCCTAGTTATGAATCGAATTGCATGAAATTCAAAATGAGCGTAGCCTTAACCGTATAATACGCAATGCCAAGGTATAGCCATACCGAGGAGCTCGTTTGCTATATTTGTTTAATTTATTTACTTTCTATTTGGATTTTTTTTTTTTGAAAATTTGTGTGACTGTTATCGTACCTAATTAATGTGCGGAATTTCAGCTTGCTAGCATTTCTAGAATGTAACATAACACGGGGGTCCTAGATAATAATGTAAATCCCTATGGGCGAAACTGAAAAAAAGGGGATCCGGGGGTCATCTCGCGGCAAATAACAAGTATAAATTGGCACAACTCTTGTGCAGATAAAGGGCATTTTTTAAATAGCTTAGAAAAGGTAAGACCGCACTAGGCGGAACTGCACTGCAAAGGAGCGACGCGACGTTACGATACATTTATATGGGTGTCGCATTTTAACTGCAGTGGACGGACGGACAAAAATTAAAAGTTATAAAAAGTATCTGGTGATCTTAACTAACAGTTATCATGAACATAGATCGCGACATAGATGAACGAGTGGACAAAAGGACGGACAACCATACAAAACTATAAAAAATCTGAGGATAAGTAGGTACAGGGTGTCCCATTTTCAAAAAAGTAATATAGGATGTTATGTGCTCTTTTTGCGTCAAACTTAAAACGAAATTTTCACTAGCTTAAGATATACAGGAGGAAATTTTAAAAAACGACCCTATATTTTATTAGTTGAAAGATGTAGGTCTATAAAAATATTGATGACAAAAGTTTCTTTACAATGATTCTTGAATAATCTGCCGTTTTCAAAATAAATATACGGGGTCAGGTAAAAAAGTTATCGGACCTAACCTCATTTTTTTAGTGGAACATCCTGTATCTTTTGTTCCAGATAGCATTTATCTTCTTTTTCTCAAAATATAACACGAAGGAATTAAAAAAAAATTCAGTAATGTTTTAAAAAGACTCGAAAGATTTTTCAAAAATTAAAAAAATTCAAAATTCTTTTGTATTTTTTTAAATCATTTGAACCTTAAAGTTTTTTAAATTCTTGTTTTAAACTTTTTGAATTTTTTTGAATCACTTGTTGGTTTTTTAATATCATCCCTAGTGTGTTATATTTTTAAAAAAGCAATCTTTTTAGATTAAAATATACAGCGTTCTATTTAAAAAATGAGGTTAGGTTCGGTAACTTTTTTAGCTAAGATCGTATGCTTATTTTATTATTCTTCTGCAAGTACTTTTGTAATAAAACATTTTGCAATTTCTCTTTTAACTTTTCTCTCATATTTCTTTTGACCTAAAAAGAGTACATAGGCGCCCATATTTAAAACACTTTTTTGATGGCACTAAAAATTAAGGAACCCTGTAAAAGTGTCGAAAATGTACATTGTTATTTATTTTTCCTCGCTGGTCTACACCATATAATTTTCTAATTTCTTGCTAATTCGCTTCGGCGGCGGTACATATACTAATACACTATGCCCAAGATAAGGATGTCTATCATGGGGATCTCCGAAACCATACGACGATATGGTCAAATTAGAGAAAAGATTAAATATTTATTATCATGCTTTAAACAAAACTCGAAAATTCCGATTACCTCCGAAGATATGTCGATTTCGTTTTTATTTTTATCCATTTTTCAGGAAATTTGCCCGAGAGGTGTTCTCGCACGATGAGGGCGTTGTGCGCGGGTGCACCATCCTGTTAAAACTAACAGTTTCCGACTTTTGTTTTTTTGTGTGTCGTATATCATTAATAATAAAAAATGCTACTTAGTACAGTGTGTACTTTTTTACGGACCATATAGAAATATAAAGTTGATGATTTCTCTGACATGAAACGTTAGATTGAAAATCTCTCAACGTTGTCTTGTAGAGCTCAATAAGTGGAAATTTTTTATTTTGTCGTTCTGTTCAAATAACAGAAAAAATGAAGAAAAAATAAAAAGCAAATCGGCAAATTTCGGTTTTTCTGGCATACCTTCGGAAATAATGGGAATTTTCTGGTTTTCTTTAAAGCATGATACTAACTCATTAATTGCACATTTTCTCATTCGACCATCCTCGTATCCTTTATTTCAAGATCGCCCCGAGAGTAACTTCTGCCGAAATTTGAACCGCAACGAAAATGCAATTTATATTTCGAGCTATAATGTTAAGAACTTAACACTCTATGCCCTTTTTTATATTTATTGGATTTAAACATAATATGTATTTATTAAATATATTTAATACCCGGGTGCCTGTTTAAGGAGTGCCCCACCCCTTGACATTTAGCATTAATTTTTTTGGATATGTATGATTTTTCCGGGATAAAGGACAAATCATTTTTTGTCCATTTACCCCTCGATTTACCCGGAAGGGAAAAGTAACTGTCGTCTATTTAGACCTCGATTTAGACTCTTTCTGTCCGCCTGGGTATATTAACTTCGTGCCCTAAAGAGCATTCAAAATGTGAGCAAAATCTTAATATTTGGACCATATTGGTAGTACGTATATTTCATTTTTTTTAATATTTCATTGTAGCAGTATAGGAGGTAGCAACAATGCTTTAAAATTTTTCAAAAGAGGAAAGAGTTTAAAATCAAAATCAAAAATAAATATTTTATATCTGTTACTGTAACGTAATAGCTTCATTCTTTACTTCTTGCTACTACCTATTAAAGAGAGAAATCACGACCTTATGGACGTGAAGTACAGACACGAATAGTAGGTCAAATTTTAAATGTCGAGAATCAATGATGCGTTGAAATGGCCCTTTGTGCTTTACTTCGACCAATAAACACGCCGATTTAACTTTCTAGCATCACTTTTTTTGTATAAATAACGAAATGGAAAGTTAATTTTACTGACTTTTCCCACCGCGAATTTATTAATTGAAGCGTGTATTTAATAAATGTACAATTAAATAGTCACGTGCTTCGTCCATGGCCTTAATGAAGTAAGCAGGGCTAGACTTATTTGAACGGTCAGGTAACAGGGACGGTGGAATTATTACTTTCATTGGTAACAATCGAATATTTCTCCGGACGGTGGTCCGTCTCGTGCTTATTTAAGCCGTAAATTACAGTGTAGGTGACAGTTTAGCACGTCTGTAATGCAGATTAAATAGCTTAAGGCTAACAATTCTCGTTTCTGAGAGAAGAGCTGAGTAATAAGCCGGACGGATTTTAATTAGGAAGTGTTGGCGATAATTGCGGGGGCAAATATGAAATAGGGATTAAAGAAAAATTTGTACGGTTCATACCTGATGGCCATTGACGGTTCCAAATTTCACCAAAATAAAGACACATAAGGGAAAGAGCCACATAGTTTCTTCCATGAAGATATCGCGGAAGGATATCTTCGTCACCTCAAGTTTTAAATAATAACATCTCGCGCGTAAACGATGAGGAAAAACTCTATTAACGTAGAAACGGACGAGCAAAGAACCATCAACTCTTAACTGCAGAATCGAGTTGGGCACTGAGAAGAGTGGACCTCTCGGGACCGAGGCCGAGTGTCGCAGTTCCCCCAATCCTGATAAATGACGGCGGGTCGAGGGTCAGAGATCTGATTAACTGTTATGTACTCATTCTACTTTTTCATGTACGCTATTGATGTATGCAAAAAAATTGTATAAAATCTAAACTAATTAATTTTAGCGCCGTTTTTATTTGTACATAATAACGTTGTTGTGCTTCCTTAATGCAATCAAGATAAGCGCTAACGAAGCGTGTATTTATACTAATTAATAACGTCACCGTACCACAAGCGAATTTTCAGCTTTCCGTCATTTCCGGGACGTTTTTCCAGTGATTATGTGATTTCCTGTACCGATACAACTGCTCACAAAATGCATGCGATTTCAGTCCATCGTGTGTTTGTCACTATGAACTTCTACGACCCCTCCATAATTACTTAATTGTCAGAGGACGCAGATTTTTAAAGTATTCACAATTTAGAATCTTTGAAGTCTCGATCCTTAAAATCGTCGAACAAAATCTGTTAGGAATCCACTTGAAATCTACTTTGAACCTTTCAAGCTTTTACTAAGTGTCGGACGAACATATCTAGTCCCCATACGCCGATATTTTATTATACGTATCAATAAAAAAAATTAAAAACGATATCACGTACCATAATCACCTATAAGAAATTGTTAAGAGCTCCAGAAATTAATATACTAGGAGGGAACGAGATAGTAGAAACAGTCGGAGCGGAACTGGGAAATGACTCCCTTTGTTTCCCCAAAAAGTAGACCAGAAATCTAAAAATCGCGAGTTCATATTTGTAATAATAAATACTGTACAGTGAACGAAAACATTTTTAGGTGACCTAAGCTCAGATTAACTGAGTTGAATTTTTAAAAAATCCTCAACAAATATTTAAACAAGTAAAAAGGTTTTCGCCCTAAGGCGAGTAACTTCAGCGCATTTTCCTGATTGATCAATACTTCCCCAAAGGCCATACATATGTGCGCTATGTTTTTCATTACTAGAGGCATATATGGTTAAAAAGAGTCTTCATAAATAAGGACGTTAACACTTACTGCGCAGTTGTTATTGCGCGTTCTGCGCATGCGCTTATTAATCTGATATTTACAATATGAAATACGTTTGCTTTTACTATAAGCATCTTTGGTTAAAATGACAAAGAAATATCTCCATAAATAAGAAGTCTGCGCACATCTGATTTTTACTATATGCGATATATTTGCCTTTACTACCAGCATCTGTGATTAAAATTTCAACAAAATATATTAATAAATAAAAAAGTTAACATTGCGTAGCCTGCGCATGCGCAGTTCAATCGTCAAGTTTTTCCTTGACTCAGGTGCCAGAGCGATACGCTACCAAATGCAAAAAGAACGAACTAAATATCTTGAAAACTGTAGGAGTAGTTAAGGCCTCGGACAGACGGACGGACAGAGAAAGTGGCTGCAATAGCGCACCCAACTTCGTTGGAAAATGCGCTAAAAAGGAGTTTCATAAAAAAATAAGTTTGAACACTTCTGAAACTGAATCCTGCATAAACTGTTTGATGTTTGAACACGGTTGTGTGCAATAGTACACCGCCCACAATACAACTATCCAGCTAACTGAAACAAATCGGATATTGAAACTTACTTACATTTTTTTCTCTTTTAATAATTTTGCCCAAAATCGTCCTGAAACCTTCATTTTCATGCCTACTTTCTGTCAGGAAATTTTAGTTTCCATGACAGAGGCAGAGCAGACTACGTTTCCTGCCGCTTGTCACTTTACTGGCCGCACTTGTCACTTTACTGGCCGTACTTGTCACTTTACCGGCCGCACCTGTCACTTTACCGGCCGCATCTGTGACATTGCTAAACGTCTATAATGACTCCTGTCATCACTGACAGATTGACATTAATCAAAAGTTCTATATTAAAAATTTATAATAAAATATGGTTTTGGGTAAAATTTAATACAAAACTCGTCAGTAAAATGACATTACTTGACTCTGAAATTAAAGTACGTGGCCCCTTCTCGCCAGTATTGTGTCATTTTCCGGACTTTTACGTAAATAACTATTAATAATCTGACCGTACAAAGGTTTGCGACACAAAGCGCACTTTAACTTTATACACAAACGCTGACAGCTTCTTAACTTTTCTTTCAAGCACAAAACTTGTTGACAAACAACATTAACTTAATCAATAAAACAACGGACTGCCGATGGTTGTTCAGACGGTACAAACTTTTAACTTTTAACAATAAGAGAACCTTAGGTTCTCACTGCTCGCTTTTTCAAACTGGACCGACTGTTTTCATAAAACCGACAAACCGCTTAACAACAAGTTTAGTTTAGTTTACTTCTGCATAAAATTATTATAATCATGACAACTTACGTCTTCAACTACTCAAATCGGGCGGACAACTTGTATAAAATAAAAAGTGTAAAGAAACGTACACGCTTTCCAACTGTCGCGAACCAGTAAGCCTCGTTTTTACGTTCATACCAATAATTAAAGGAAACACTACTTCCACAAGAAAACACCGCCAATCATAAGTAGACTTGATAAATGCCAGCTTCAAAAGAACTTACGCCAAACTAACGTGCGCATAGTAGCATCTTCATCTCCGTTATCTTTTCTAACAGCGATAAGAACACGTGTGCTAATTAAATTTTGTCCGATAATAAAACTTCTTACCGCAAACGACCAAATGCATTTACATTAAAGCATTTAACGAAATTGAATTAATTACAATAGTGACAAACAAGATTTAAACATGAAAATATTACGCAAGTACAAACAATTCTAAAAGGAAAAATATTACTGAGGCTCAAATTCAAGTAAAAAAAACCAACTGTGTGCTTATTCGTAAATAAATTCCCCCACCCCCACCCCCCACCCCGATTTACACTTATGTTAAAATACTCTCATATGTTTTGTGTGTTTAGACCGAAACGCCTACATGACGTTGTTTACCCAACAATATATTAATTTAGATCTAGTTCTTTGAAACAAACACCTAAGATATTTGATTTGTTTGACTATCATGATAAATGATCTTTTCCGTTTAGACCAATGATCACTTATATCAGATTTAGTCAAAAATGACACAATTAATTTAAAAAAGTGAATACAAATCATACCATTCTATTTAATTTCTATGTAATAATCCTCTTGGGTCACTCTGTATAAGTATGTAAAAAATAGGTGGGAAGATGACCAAAACAAATAAGTTTTTTTGTACTTTTTTAATTTTCTAGTTACAATGCTTATCCCTTGAACACGTGTCATGCTAATAAGCAAAGTTTAATGCTTATCTAAAATTCATCTTCTGCAAATCTACACAATAAATTACTGATACATCCTCCTATACAAAACATACACACTGAATGATAATTGAAATTTTAATCCAGCTGAAATAAATGCAATTTTCCGATCAATGAAATGAAATAACCCAAATCCTTTGTTGGGATTCGCTTCTTATCAGTAAACGCAATACAAATCTGATTAAGCAAGTTAATTCTCAAGGGTCGATTCCTTTAGGAATATTAGAATTACTCAAAGAAATCAATATATTATGCACAACTCTTGTGCAGATGAAGCGCATTTTTAAAAACCGAAATAGCTTAGTAAATGGTTGGGTTATAAGGTACTAGCCTGCTATATTTATTGGCCTTCTTGGTAGCTCATTAAAGGGGTGGCAGATTCACAGTTAAGTTTACACATCGCCAAAATCTAATCACCTTAATTTTTGCGCATGTATAATAGTGATTCGCATTTTCGAACTTGACTCAAACTACCCGCCTAAAAATATATCAGACTGAAAAAGCGTAACTTTCCGCTCGAGGGTTAATTGCAGAAACCCTCTAAAAATTACTATATTTTGCAACCACGCTCTTCTGGACAAAAAAATGCCGACCTGAAACTTCTCACTGCCCAAAACCGAATGCATTAAAATTGCTCTTCTCCGGACTAATCCCTACATTTTCCGCTTAACGAGAACACCCACAAAACGGCGTAAGTCAAAGAAGTTTGACCCAAAATATAACAAATGTGGCGAGTTAGGCCATTATAAGAAGCTAATGAAGCACCAAGCATATTGGCATCGGAAGGAAGGTCATACAAGTTTGAATTCTGGTCAAATTAAAGTTGAGTATGTGCCTTCAGATGAACAAGAAGCTGATTTGCTCACCAAACATCTCACTAGACAGCGCTTCGAAGTAAATAATGTGCCTGTTTGTAACTGAATAGTGTTTCTATTCTGTAAAGACTTGAATTTTAAGGGATGGAAAAATCTAATAACCAGCGCTTGGTGATTTTCGAATGCAAAATGTGTTGCTACGAGGGTGATAGTAATTAAATAACTAAGATATTGGAAAATGTCATTTCTTTACATCATTAATTTCAACTGTTTACTATTCAATTCGTGCAAGACTTCTTTATTTATTTAACCACTGATCTCATCAGTTTGCAAGATTTGAACCAAATCGTAACTCATTTCAATGGAGGCGATTTATGTGCTATCGTAATCTGCATCGACGCCTCAGATCGACAGACAGGCACCAAATGTGCACCAAATCACTTCTATAAAATTTTTGATCATTGGCTCGGTCAAAAATTCGGGGACATTTTTCAGAAAAATTGCATTACAATCCCCGACTCTACCTACTCGGCTTAGTTTTTAAAAGCAGAAGACGGTTCAGACTGTAATTGTAACAACCTTCAAAATGATCGTAAAAAAACTAGTCTAATTAAGAACCAATGCCGTTCCTTATTTATTAGTTACGTCACTACCTGATTATCGTCCTTATACTAAATGAAAAGTTCCTTCGCAATATCTCTCAATCAAACAAGATAGAAAATCTACTTTTGGGACTATCCGCGTATTCCCACGCACCCCTAAGGTAACTATGGAAACTCCGTGCGTATTTATTATGACAACACAACAAACATCATCTTAGATCTTTTCGTCAGTTGTTGAGCGAGTAAGTTTAACTGCAACTATGGCTGAGCTAGAAGGAGAAGTGGGCGATTTGGAGGTGAACGCTATAATAGGATTCGATGGTACAGGAACAATTTTCGAACCACTTTGACGAGTGTAATTCCAGGAGCGATCGTGGGAGGACTAAAGGTGCACCCGGACGGCGAGCACATCGTTTTTCCAATAGGAAATAAGGTGGCCATCCAGCACTGGTCGACTAAAAGACAGTACTTCCTTTCGGGACATACAAACGTCATTTCGGCAATCGACGTTTCGTCATCGGGAAAGTATATAGCCTCAGGGCAGATTAATCACATCGGATTTAAGGTAGAGATTTCGCCCCGTGTTTCGTTTGTAGATTTGTCTCGATTTAGGCGCCGGTGATCATTTGGGACTTTTACAAGCGCGTGATGCTATCGAGACACGAGATACACAAAGTCAGAATTGAGGCGCTGAAGTTTTCGACTGATGATCGCTACGTGACGTCTTTGGGTGGGAGAGATTGTGGAAATATAGTCGTGTGGAATGTGGAAGCGGGGGCTTTGCTGAGTGGAACGGAGGCGAGTAGAGGTTCCAAAGGAGAGGCCACGTGTTTGTGCGCCTGCAATATTAGAGGAGAGTGCTTTATATCGGGAGGGGATGGTAATTTAATCGTCTGGGGTATAGACGTTGTGGCGCGAAGCATTGCTGGATTTGACGTCAACATGTCAAAACTCAAGAGGGTGATCTACTGCATGGAAATGAACGAGCGCGACGAAGTTTGTTACTGCGGCACCAGTACAGGCGATATCCTCAAGGTGAGGCTAAATTTCCATCCCAATTCTGAAATTTTGCTGCCAGTAAAACCACCCATAATGCAAGGGTGTTTTACTAAGATGAGTTCCAAGCCGTTACCTAAAGGAGTGGTGGACTTGTACGGGCAAGGTACCAAGAACCGTTGATCTTCCTTGCAATAATCCGGTTGTAGGTGTTCGCTCTTTGGTTTTATTCAAAAATGGAAGACTGCTAGTAGGCGCCGGTGATGGAACCGTGGACCTAGTGGAAGAGAAGAAAAGCAGCAAAGTAGTACATGAACCTGCAACGGGTGGATTTAAATTGCCGTCTCATCCTTTACTACGCGTGGTATTTAAGCTTTTTTCTTTATTACTGCTCTGACCTCAGTAGGTCCAGAAGCCAACGCTTCCGGATCGCAGAGGAAGTTCTGACCTTAAAATATCAAAATAATTACCATTCCAAAGGCAAAAATTATTTCTGCGAAGCCATAGTCGCTGGCTTCAAAAATGTTCCTCTATTTCTCCTTTATTTTTCTCTCCATCATTGTTCTGTACCTGTTTCTCTCTTCTGTAGCACTCCTTTCTTTTGTCTCCCTTGCCTGTTTCCCTGGTATTTCATATACTTGCTCTTCTAGTTTCCTTCTATAATTCTCCACTCTGTCCTTGAACGTTCTTTAAAATCTTCTATTACAAAATTTTTTCATTTACTAGTATGTAATCAATTACCGACCTCCCCCCCCCCCCCTCCCATGTATGTGTATTGCCTATCCCTATCTCCCCGCATGTTTCCGTTTAATATTCTGCCACCTTTCTGTGCCGTCCCATCTCCGCCCAATTTCATTTATTCCTTGTTTTGACATTTAAATCCCCCCCCCACACTATTAGTCTTTCGTCCTCCCTTTTATCTATTATATTTTGTAATTTATTTTTAAACTTTTTCATTCCTACTCGTTTATAATTCGTTATCACTCTCATCATCTTCCCCTCCATTTCCGCTCGTCTTTTTGGTACGCCCTCTTAATCTTTTCTTGCCTCCTTTATGTTTTCCCTCTGTGCGAATTGGTTCTTCCATCTGTATTCATTCGGTAACCGATTCTTTATTTTCTCCCAGTTACTTTCCTCTATCCATGATTCCCCCAAACCCACCACATCATATCCTCTTACACTACCAGAATTGTACGTCTTTACTTTCTATATGCATCTCTCCTTTTCAATCTGCTGTGCTCATTTTATCTGCAATTCGTATCGGTCTCCTCTTTTCCGCTCACCCCCCTCCTTGTATTTTCTTTTACGGTTAATACCCCCCCCCCCAACTCTGCCTTTCCCTCTCCCGCCCTCTTCTCTTTTTTACTTGTACCACTAATCTCCTATATCCCCATATTTCTCTCTATACCCTTTCTTCTTTATTTTTCTCTTTCTTTTCTCTTATTTTCTTCTTCAAATGTGTTTATCCTTTCTATAAGTTTTACTTTTTCCTTATCCCATTACTCTTCCCTTCTATTCATTTCCTCCCAGTTTGAATTTTATGGAATTCGGTTCATAAATGCCCGAGAACCATCAGTAAGATCTTGTCGAGTGTGTAGTGCTGACTTTCTACCCTCGTTGAAAGCACTAACGACGGGACAAGTACTAATCGTTAGTGCTTCGTTAGTGCCTCTTAGTGCTTCATAACTTACATCAGCACGACGAAGGTAGGAAGTCCGCACTACAAAAGGGGGGGGGGGGTCGATTTCTCGGAAACTGCCGGTCGTGCTGATGCAAGTTATAAACCATTAAGAGGCACTAACAAAGCACTAACGATGTGATCATGTACCGTAGTTAGTGCTAACTTCACGGACCTTCGAAAAGGGCCTTCCTTACTTTTTGGGCCTACATTGCCAATTCACAAACTTCGATCCTCAAATTTGATAAAGAATCCACCTGAAAAATTTTATCGTAATCGGTCCACCTGTCCCATCGGCCATCGGGCGAGCGATTGGACGAAGAGAGCGTTGAGTGAAGGAATCGATTCCTTCACTCAACGGAGAAAGTGTAAGCGTTTTGCTTGTAACTCGACGCTAAAATATAGGATATCGGCCTACGAATGTTATGCAACGTTACATACAAGCGCGCGTAATGTGTGTTGCCTATCTGTCTCAGCGTCTAAAAGTAAACTCAAAGGAAATGAGGAAGAAGAAGAATTTCAGGCAACCAAAGAGCCCAACGATTGAAGGTCTGATCAGTTTGGGTGTTCTGAATATTCTGAAGAAGACCATAGACGCGTGGTATAACTGAAGATAAAGGGACACATTGAAAGAGTTCGAATGAACATGGTATTAAAGGTTTGATTCACTTAAAGAGGCCTAAGCATGGGAAGGAACTGAAAACCAGAATTCAAAAAATTAAAGAATTTGAAGAATCGTAAAGATACGAAAAATTGGAAAAACATCTGATTAATCTGAAGTATTTGTAGAACACTATGGATCTGAAAGATTTGAAGAATCGCGCTAATTCAAGAATTCATTGAATTTGTTAAATCGAAACAATTTGATGAAACTGAAGAAATTGAGGATAATAAAAATTTGAAAATGAATCAAATTGGAAGATCTGAATATTTGACGGATCTGAAGAATGTGAGTGATCCAGAATCTGAAAGTATTAACGGGTCTAAAACTAGAGAATGTGAAGGATCCATAGGAGAAGATTAGGAAAAATTGGCAGGCCTCGAAGTTCATGAATTTGAATAAACCAAGGAACAAATCTGCAAAACTGAAAGAAGAAACTGAAGCATCGGAAGAACCAAAAGAAACGGAAGTTTCAAAAGTAATCTGAAAGATCTGAAGCATGGAAAGGATTGGAACGGTACGAAAGATCTAAAGGAAATATCTCCCAAATTTGGATTGTGGAACTGTAATAAAATAATTTTAAAAAATTTGAAGAATTTGAAGAACATGAGGAATCAGACTAATTTGGAACCGACAAAATCTGAATGTTCTGGACCGAGGACACCGAAGTCACCCGGAATAATAAGAGTCACAAGACCCGACTTCATAAAAAATGCACTTTTGAGAAAGAAATGTTATTGTGTCTTTAGTTTGGTGCAATACTTTCCTTTTCCTTAGACTGGTATTTTGATATTTTAAGGTTCACTTGCGATCAAAACGGGTTTACAGGATTGGCTCCTGGACTATTTTTCTTTTAGCTTAAATCTACAAACGTAAAGTCTTCGGTGACATCACTGCAAATGTTCCGAGAGAACACTATCTTGGCGGGCACTAGCAATTGCGAAATATTCATGATTGATTTTTCTACATTCGAGACAGATTTGGTTGTCACCTGCCACAACTCTGCCATTTACTGTGTGGCATTTCCTTAGTAAGTCCAACCCGCCCAAAAAACAATCGGCGGTTTAACCAAGTGTTACAGTCAGTTCTCCGAAGTGTTCGCAACGGGCGGCAAGGACGATGTTCGACTATGGAGTGTCGACACCTCCCAAGAATTGCTTCGTATCAAAGTGCCCAATTTCAGTTGCTCCGCTATCGAATTCGCGCATGATGGCAAATCAATTATCACCGCTTGGAATGATGGAGTAATTCGAGCCTTCACCCCGCTGAGTGGGCGGATGATGTACGCGATTATGAACGCTCACAACAAGGGCGCTTCTGCGTTAGCGACCACCCACCATGGCAGGACGCTGGTCACCGGAGGATGCGAAGGCCAAGTGCGCCTCTGGGATATATCCCCTACGAAGCAGAAGCTTTTGATCACACTCAAAGCGCACAATGGCCCCATTTCGGAAATTCACGTAAACAAAGCAGACGACGAAGCGGTTAGCGCGAGTACTGATGGAAGCTGCATCGTTTGGGACATTATCCACCAGTGCCGCAAGCAAGTCCTCTTCTCGAACACACTCTTTATGTGTGTCAGGTACTACCCCACCGATGTTCAAATCCTTACGGGTGGATCAGATAGAAAACTGGGCTACTGGGAGGCTCTGGACGGGAATTTGGTGCGAGAAGTTGAGGGCTCTCAGTCGGGTGCAGTTAACTCCTTGGACATATCGAGCGACGGTGTGTTTTTTACTACGGCCGGTAACGACCAAATCGTCAAGCTGTGGAAGTACCAAGAGGGCATTACGACCCACATTGGGATTGGGCACTCCGCCGTTGTTACCGCTGTACGATTCAGTCCAGATATGGAATTTATCGTTTCAACCAGCGCCGCTGGTAGCATATTTGTGTGGAAGAATCCCTTCTATCTAACGCCATCACAAACTCCTACACCTGACAACAAAGTGACAGCGAGCACGGTAAAAGAAGGATCTGAAGAACGCGTTGAAGATCTGCCCAGCACGCGCAGCAGTGTCCAAAGTCCCAAAAGTGGGGACGAGAAGACTGTGCCGAAAGAAAAAACATGTCTATGTCCATGTGTTAAGAATAATCAAGACAAAAGTAACGCGTAACTCTTGCCATTTTAATTGCGCAATTGTATATCTGATATTTTAGCATTGATTAAACAAGTATTTTACATCTTAATATTGTTTAGTCTATTAAAATATTTATAAACAAATCCGTACTCTTGAGAACGATACCTTATGCTCACTTTTTTACAATGGCCATATTTTTAAACGAATGCAAGCGTTGCGATAGCCTACGACGTAGGCAACCAACCGTTCCCGTTTCGAAATTGCACGAACTGCTGGATTTTATTGTTGAATTTATAACCATTTCCTCCACTAGCACACACAAAGACGAATTGCCAGATGGACTCCCGAGAGGTTTTCGGAAAACTGATTCCGAAAAATCATGAGACCACTAGAAAAATTTTGAATAAATCACCAAACGATCAATGTAGGTATATGTTCTAAAACTCGTGTCCATTGTACAGTTTTATAAAACATCCGGTTCGGCATTTATCAATAGGTTCGAAAAGTATTAGACCGGGAGGCAGCGTACATAGTAACTAAACCATAAGCGACAAAAAATTCGACAATACAGGCTGAAAGTACGTTGAAAACTAGTAATAAAATCACCAGTCTGCCAGTCGTAAGTGGCAGCATTAACTTGAGGGCGGCGCTGAAAAGTGATTCTTTTGGAGATCAACTAAATTACTAAACTATATAAGGGCCACGGAAAAGATTTATGTCCAGAAATGCCATTTTTCCCATAGTTTTCAAATACGCTATGGCAGACGATATCAAGTGCAGCGTTGAGGGCGACAGACGGCCCCCAATGTAGAGAAAAACACCCCTGAACTAAACCATGAGGACCATATAAAAATTATACATAAAAATTCCTCTTTTTGTCACTACTTTAAAATATATCCTGGCAGACGATATTAAGTGTAGCTTTAATAGTGGCAGACGTCTTAGAAATTAAAAAATTGAGGTATAGTAAATCCCTGCGAGTGCGAGCGTGTGAGAGATAAGCGATAATAATAATAATAAGGGTGATTCCTATAGTACCTGCCACCGTTTGGGAGCGTGTAGGTGGTGCGTAGGGGAGTATTTTGATATAGGACACTTGGGGTCGGAAATCTAAAATAAGGGTGCCAGAACCAAATTTACCTTCTGGAATTTCGCGCCTGTAGGTAGGCAACCCAACCGGCCGGCGGTGCACACGGAGCGATCTCAGGCGGCGATGTGTGGCTGACACTTGATCAGAATTTTGTTTAAACCCACGAAATCCCGTCTGCAACGACGCGTATCAAGTGAATAAACACTATGGCACGTTTTACTAACACGGAATACGCGGACATGCACTTCATGTACGGATTGGCAAATGGTAACGCACGAGCTGCACGACGAGCGTACGCTGAGCGGTATCCAAACCGTCAGTTACCCTGCAGACAGGTCTTTCAAGAAGTTCACTTCCGACTGTGCGAGACAGGGCAATTGCAGGTAAGCTGACGGAGGCTTAACTTTACACACAGATTCGTGATGCACATCGATACTTGGGTCATTTAAGCACCCATTTCGAAAAGTTTGTTTGTTTACACCGACCCCCTCCTATTTCGCAGCCCACTAGCGCCCGTGATCGCGATCGCCCGTTGGTAAATGCCTTAGAGGAGGATGTGTTGGAACGTTTCGAGGCAAACCCGCGTACTAGCACTCGACTTGTAGCAGATCAGGTGGGTTGTAGTCAACACACAGTGTGGAACATCGCCAACAACAACAACTTACACCCCTATAAGTTTAAGAAAGTGCAAGAGTTACGGCCGGGTGACCATGAAAGGAGGCTGGAATTCTGCAACTTAGTCGTCCAGGAGGAAGAAGCTAATCCGAACTTTCTGAGGAGCGTGCTAGTTACTGACGAGAAAGGATTCTCAAGAGAGGGGACCTTCAATCCTCGTAACAGCCACTACTGGGCGGAGCACAATCCTCATGAAACGTTTACGCGAGGATACCAGGACAAGTTTTCTTTAAACGTTTGGGCTGGCATCCTGGGGGACAACCTACTGGGGCCTTACATCCTCCCTCCGCGTCTAAATGCCCATAATTACCTGATTTTCCTGCGCGAGGTGCTACCAGAACTTTTAATGAATGTTCCAGTGAACTTGTACTGGGACCACTGGTTCCAGCACGATGGGTGCCCTGCTCACTACGGGCGGCAGGTGAGGGAACACTTGGACCAAACCTATCCGGACAGATGGATCGGCCGTGGAGGTGCGGTGGAGTGGCCTGCCCGCTCGCCCGACATCACCCCATTAGATTTTTACTTGTGGGGTGTGATGGAAGCGCACGTCTACGAGACTCCCGTCGAATCCGAAGAGGACTTAATTGCGCGCGTCGTCATGGCCGGAGAGGCTGTTCGCCAGGACATAGGAGTCTTCACGCGAGTTCGAGGGGAGTGGTTGGCTAGATGTAGGAAGTGCATTGAGAACAACGGTGGCCACGTTGAACACTTGTAAACGTTATTGCTTTTGACTGTCGTTTTCCCTCCTTCCCTCCTATGTCGCTTCCTCGCGCTAACTCGCTCTGCATCGCTCCGCGCGAAACGTCGGTCGGTTGGGTTGCCTACATACAGGCGTGAAATTCCAGAAGATAAATTTGGTTCTGGCGCCCTTATTTTGGATTTCCGACTCCAAGTGTCCTATATGAAAAGACTTCCCCTAGGCACCCCCTATACGCTCCCAAACGGTGGCAGGTACTATAGGAATCACCCTGTATGTAGGTATGTACTCTGACAACATTTATTAAGTTTCGTTGGGAAACCATTTAAACGCAACAACTCGAGAAGGTGGGTCTTAGGACTCTTAGGAATTAGCACCATATATCAACAAGAAGTAGTTAATCAATAAATGGAAGAAATAACAGCTTTTGTAATTTGGAAAGTTTATGATTTTGGTTTGATGCAAAAAAATGAAGCAGGTTTCATTTGAAAAAATCAACTTTTTAAGGTTTGAAATTATTAAAATTGACCATTAGTTTTAAAACACCCTGTAGAAGGGCGATCAAAATCGAAATCATTTTAATGACGTAGTGTTGTTGATTTTGGAAGACTTTAAAATCCAAGTCAACGGAGTCATAGGTGCAGGGCCCTAAAGAAAAGTAGTCAACCGTAAAAAATATTGAAAACCTTTGACGCTGGATATATGGAAATCTTAGTGTAAAGAATAGAAATGTGGTATCAAACAACGGGTTTCATGTAAATTTCGAAATAGCAATAAAACACAGGGTGTTCTATTTAAAACAAAGTAGCTATCCACATCCTATAGAACTGGAAGCGAAACGACCATGATAATATTTTCAATCGAAAGATCATGAGAAACTATGTTGGTATGGTAATACTCTACTTCCTTTTTGTCGACTGAGTCCTTAACTATTGTTCTACTACGAACCCAAGGTAAATAGCAGTACTCAGGACCGATTGGCTAGGGAAATACGAGTGGGTATCAAGGGTTGAAATGACCTGCGGTTTACAGAACCACTATTTATGCTCAAACCTCTCTGAAATACTCGAATGAAAGGATAAAATTAAAATACACAAGAAGCAAGCAAGAAGAAATAATTAATCCTTTCAACTAAATGTAATCTAAATTTCGTTAGCTGCTCGCATATTTGGGCAAAGTACAATTACAAATAATTTACGTTAGCCGATCGCATAATTCCGCAGGGGCCATAAACTTCAACTAATCATAAAAATCTCAACGCACAATTGCGCCAACCAAACGTTTTTTTTCGGTTGAAACTTTGCACAGTTGACCTATATGCTACATATAAAAAGCCTATTGAAAATGGGTCAAATCCAATGACCCCGTAGGGTTACGCCGCTATTCTACATCCGCATTACACGCGGTTTATTATGTATTAAATTCAATTAATGAATGTAAATGAAAAGAAATTACATTGTACTGCTATGGTAAATTTGAACTTTATATAATCCACGAATGCCTGACAAAATGCGCACGTCTACTCGTTTACGAGGGAATCTCATTGACCATTCGTTTGCTTACCAAGCGAAAGTATCTTTTTTTTTCCTTTTATTGTTTTGTCGCATACCCGAATTCTCTAGTTATGACCTATAATCATTATTATAATTTACGGGTATAGAAACCGTTTAAGACCAATACTGTTTTCTTAGAAAAACTGGTTTAATTAGAACGTGGAAATGATCCATACGCGTATTACTAATATCGAGCATCTGAAAATAAATTCGACTATATACGTTCGATTCCCTTGTTAGAGTTAAGTCAGGTTGACACGGGTAGGGAAGCCCGCTCGCGTCTCATGCTTTAATTAGACAAGAAAGTACTAAATAAACATTCGTGGGTGTACTACTGCAACGCGCGTTTCCTTTTTTACCACCCTCACGTTAGTAAGCGAGATAGATATTTTACTGGGGTAAAAAATTGCACCTATCTTTGTTTTTTACCGAAATACATGTTTTGAAGCACCAGGATTCCGAATCGAACAAAATCTCGATTAGGTCGGACTGTTTTATTTTATTTTATTTTTTATTTTATTATACCTCTCTTGTTTTGGGCCCTCAACAGGCATGCGCCCAATTACAGAGTGACCCGCATAATGCTATTTAGAGGTGCCTCTGCAGAAGGTCTTAAGTTGGTCTATACTACTCCGGTATTTACCTTACGAATTAGGAAAACTGCAGGAAAACCTAATTCGGAGTAGCCGGTAGAATGCTCGGAACTGGTCTAAGGTAATTTCCATCTCCGCCACAGATGAAAAATTCACCTCAACCCAAGTTCGAACACCCGACCTTCGGATTTATAACCCAATGCTCTTACCACTGAGCCATAAATCCGATGTCTGCCTATACTCCCATTTCCGGCTGAACCGATTGGAACCACTTGTGTCAAAACCGCAGAAGTGCGGCGATGGGCGGACAGACTGACAAAACGCAAACAATGCCACATTTTTTTTAAATCTTTAAAAATGCGCTAAACACATTAAATTGCAATTTCGAAAGACCAATATCGTTTGTGACGACCATAGACAATATCGCAAGGCAAGCCACAAACAATTTCAAATGCCGAATCTAAAATTCTACCTGTAATTTTTGGGGGAGATACGTGTTGACGAATTTACTACAATCTTTGAGTGTACAGTAATATTAATTAAGACGTAGTAATAGGGATTTTATACGTGTATTATTCTTCCCTATGTCATAGAGTAAATTATGCCTATGTCTACTTTTAAATGTCAAAATCTCTTCTGAAGGCGCCTAATTGTATACAACCAAAATAACTTCTTAAAACAAATACAAATCTGGCCGACATGTTAATTATTTGAATTGGTTAGGCAACTAACAATACTCATTGGACATTTTTACTATTCCCGCCATACAGAAACTTATAATACTTTCTCTTCCCCGATTTTCGGTTGTTACAATGATAAATTAGTTACTATAAATATAAAATAAGACATGTGACTTACAAGTTGCATAACCTACAGGTAGTTTTGCTGATCATTTCTAAATTGATAGTTTTATACAGTGTGTAACAATATAGGTATGTAAAAAATTGGGGTGGTAGAGACAACCAAACCAATTACCTTTTCTAAATAAACCGATGGTCGAAATTTATAGCTTGGTATATGGACTGCGTCTCTAAAAGTGGTAACTTTTACAAAATCGAAGAGTAAACCAAATATCCTGTTGAGAAGACACAAGTTTTGAGACTTTCAACCTTCCCAACAAATTCAAATTTAGTCTTGCTGTAAGGTGTATTGAATAACCACCGGCGTATGCCATCCTTCTGAAATTCCTTTCCTAAAGCAATGCCTAAAGTCAATTTGATCTCAAGCTCCTGAAATTTCCCTTCAAACTTTTTACACGTTCCCACACATAGGATTTTGAGTGTTAGGTCGTATAAAAGTAATCACACAATCATTGGTGCAGCGGAAAATATTGTTTTCCGTAAGACCTCTGGTGCTGGTGGTTCTTTTGTAGTAATTAGCATCAGGGTGCCTCCTCCCTGTTTCCACCCCACTCTTGTGGAGGCACCTCATTTCCAAGCCACTGCTGTACTTGGGCAAGCAATGATGCATCTTCAATCAATTGATTGGTCCATTTTCTTCTAACCCACACCTAGTGTAAAAATCACATGCGGCTCATTTTCGCCAACTGTCGTTTTGATTGTTATAAGCATAATACGGCACGAGACCTAGTATATGTATATCAGGATGAGCTGTGGAAATCAAATAATTACTTTTTAGCATATTGCCCCCAAAAATAAACAAGTAAAAACATAGGTAGGTAGGTACCCCTCGACTCAAAGAGATGGATTTATGAAATTCCTTTGCTTATATCTTATACATTTAATTCACTTTATAAAAATATGGAATGTGATTACAAACAAAAAAATGTGCATAATGTTACTTCTTGTACACGTAACTTTCAGCGCCACCTCGCCCGAAACCTGAAAAAGAAAGCATTCTGATTAAAAGTGAATAATCAATTTGTTTTCACTAAGTATAAGCGTGCAAAATCTCTAACCTTATTTAGAAGTTTAAGTAAATTACCTACATCAAAGGTAGCTTCACTCAATTTTACAAGAATTTGTACTTAACGCGATTTCTTAATCAATACCTACGTGCAATTAGTGGGCACATTTTCGACCTATTTTTGCTACTGAACTATTGGTAGTGTTTCGTGTAGCACTTTCGCTTTTCAACGCTCAGGTAATGAACAAGTAAAGTAGCTTTCAAGTTTACAATTGTTTCTTATTATGAAATTGAGGAAACTCTGAGAAGAATAAACGAGTTATACATAATTTTTCTAATACCTAGCAGTCAGCACAGTCTTTAGCGCATTTTTGGAAAAAATACGCTATTATATTGGTTATGGCTGGCTGGCTGTCCGACTGGGATCTCAGCAATTACAATAGCTAGAGACTTCAAATTTTCACTGAAAGCTTTCTGATGTAGTGTAGATGTGCAGGCTCTAGTCTATTTTGAGTTAGATTATTTGTGAGATCTATAATTGAAGAAAATAATTTCGATATGGTTCTCGGAGATGCTATAATTTTACCGTTAGATAGCGCTACCAGTATAACAACTTAATTATTAACGCATTTTTGAAAAAAAGGCAAGGAGTGTAAAAAAATTAGGTGAACCTACGTGTAACTACATACCTCCAGGTCCGAACAGGGCGGAATAGCAGGGCTGGTTGCAGTAAGGTTTTCCTTCGTGTTCGGCGTGTGAGCCGGGGGTTAAAGTTTTGTTACATTTTTCACAACGTAAACAACCGGCGTGCCAATCTTTTCCCAGCGACGTTTTGCGCTCAGCTGAAAAGATTAGCTTGATTAGTTTTGAAACAATTCTTTGAATCGCATTTATGAAGGCCTTTATTAGGTAAATATAGTAGCATGAAAATGTAAGAAAACCCGAGGGATAAACCACTTCAGTTTTTGTGTACACTAAAATTCTAAAAAATTCTAGGAACATTCTACAAAATGCTAGTCGTATACACTAAAATTCTACAGTGCTTTTCCCCTCGCGAAAAACACCAGAGCGTTGTTGCTAATACTGCTAATAGAGAAATAACCACTTATTTAATGGGAATAGTAAGTTTTATTCCAGATCTAGACGAAATAATATCCACGGAATCGAGATGTCCATAAAATTTTTGAGATCCTATTGCAAATCGCTTTTGTGACATGTCAAAAAAGCGCTCGCGTGCGCCTCATGCAATCTGTGCATTTTGGTATCTCCCAAGAAACGTTAATTAACTCAGAAATAACTAGTAACTAGGTAATGATTTTAAAATCATTCAATTTTCAATTTCAATTTTTCTAGGAATACGTCATCCTTTAAAGAAAAGGTCAATCCTAATGTGTAAACCACTTATCATATTAGTCTACACCTCGTTTCCATTTATAAACATTTCTAGAATACACTGTACCTATCTAAGATAAGGATGCCTATCATGGAGATTTCAGAAACCGTAAAAGATAGGTAGAAGGTCAAAAAAGTTTAAAGAAAAGTTGCACAATTATTATCATGCATTAAAGAAAACCAGAAAATTCCGAAATCTTCCGAAGATATGCTAGAAAAACGGAAATTTGGCGATTTGGGTTTTATTTTTTTCTGATGTTATTTAACAGAAAATTTTTTTTAAAAAACACACTTTCTTATTTCCACTTTTTGAGCTCTACAAGACACCGTTGAGAGATTTTCATTACGTTTCGTTTCGGAGAAATCATCATCAACTGTATTTTTTATATGGCCCGTAAAAAAAGTACATACTGTATTGAGTAGCATTTTTTATTAGGAATACAATGATACATGGCAACCAATCGTAAATATCAGTTTCGAAATAATAGCCGTTTGCACCGACAAATTTAAGCGGAGCTTAGCTTAAGCGTCCCTTAAAATCCATGGCAACGATTATTGAGACAATGGTTGCCATGGATTTTAAGCTACGCTTAAGCTAAGTTCCGCTTAAATTTGTCGGTGCAAACGGCCATAAGTCTCGGTAATTTCTAAAACTAATTTACAAAGCAACGGTAACTAAATATCGGAATATAAAGGAAAAGGATATCAAACGTAGTTAAGGCAGTACAAATGAATCTTCAAAGTGACTACAAATATATCGTAGACAAAATCGGTTCTCGGAAGGTATATTCTTTTCGATTCTAATTCATCACGTGACTTCGCCAATGTCAGTCTCACTAAGATGGCGCATCCATGTAAAAATGCGGTGTCATTCACGTACTGCATAGGTAATAAGTAATATCCAGGTAGATAATAACATGTCAATCTTTACATACCTCACACAAATGACTTGCAAATATAAATCCGCTAAGCGTATAGAGCATCCACAACACATCAAAAATAGAGAGAAATAAACCTGACGATATATAATACCAAGAGCCCTTTTCAGGTAGACAATAAATCAAGTAAAAGTAATGGCGTATCAAGAAACTCGGATGACCTCTAGCGGCGAAAATAAAGAACTAAGGTAATACTAATAACAAATCTACCATAGAAATAACTAACATCTTAACTAAACGGGTTTACAAAGGAAATACCTAGATGGTGTAAGAATATCGAATATAAATTAGAGTAAAAAATCGAATCTTAAATAGATTAAAAAAATGTTAAAGCAGGAAAAAAACACACGGCTGTCATCAGCGAATAACCGTTGTGTGCTGTTGAAACGCGTTCGATCTTTTAGTGTGGTTTACTGGTTTTTTCGTTTTACTTTTTCCAGTTTCGAAATTTGAGAAAAATGTGTCATTGTTCAGAATTGTACTAAAATAAAAGTAGGAAAATTATTTCGAAAAAAGTGAAACGCATGTGCATAAAGTAACTATGCCATCCTTAACTGATAATTATACAGTTAAGGAAAACGTCAAGAAAAAACAGCAGGATAGGTATGAGTTCCCTGTAAAAAAAGGAGTGATGATATGCGCAAACATGGTTTAATGATTAGTTCACTGATTAGATTGTTGCGATGACAAATACTTTATTTATTTTGTAATAGGCTATGATGTGATGTAAGTAATTATAAATTCTCTCCTTTTTTTACCTATTTAATTATGGGAAAAGATTACTTTTTTTTATTTTTAGATGGTGACTTCATTGCCACAAAAATGAGGGTGGCTCAAAAGGTGACTTTAGTAGTAAGGGCAGTGGTAACAAATTAGAAATATACACCTGATTGAATTTATCCAAAAAGGAAGAAATTTGTATCTAATTAAATTTCGTGCACTAAACGTTTTCTTTTTGGTGTCAAAGGGGTCCAAAAACTGTTTATGCCTTAAGGGACACTTATATTCACTCTATATAAAACGAGTTGTGTCGACATCATTTTTGAACCTTTTTTTATGTGCTCCAGTTCTGATACAAAAAATAGATTATTATTGAATTTCAATTTTTTGTTCGAGATCTCTTCGGAGGAATAAAATGAAATAGACTTTTCCAGTACTTTTTCACTGTTGGTATTCTTTATTTCCCCTCGCAGTCTCATTTTAGTTAGTTCAAAAAAATATTTAAATTTTTGCCATACTTTGTAGCTATCGAGTTTTAACTGCTCTGTAATTAGTGTTTTTGTACACGGAAAGAAATGGAATAAACGACAGAAGTATAGAGAGATGGACAAATAAGCGATTATTATAATATCGCTAGTTAGAAAAGCGCGAGTTGCCACTTAAACCCATTTTCTGTTTACTTCAAAAGGGCACACACACAGAAACTTGCCATTAGCTAATTACAAGGACTGTAACAAAGGCCGGATCTTTTGTTCTCTTTAAATTTTAAATGTCGCGAGTTTTGTTGTACGCCTGTCATCCGTGCACTTTTCGTTATGCAAATGTCGATATGCATTACTTATGCATATTATGTAACAAAAAAGGAAAACCGAGACGTGTTTAGCAAAATAAACCGGCGATGACTAAACGAATTACATCACGTACGAATATAGGCACGTAATCTTATCAAAAATTTAATTAGCCTAATCAGTTACCAAAAATTTGGTTCCTGTTCGGTTAATAATATCAGAAAAATACCGTTAGATTATTGAAATCTTACCAAAATATACCGCTTTATCGCACTTGGGACAGTTGGGCATTGTAAGCACTGGAATGTGGTTTAATACACTAAACTGGACGCACCGCGCTACGGATAGGAGGCGTATGTACTTTGATAGTTTCCCACTCTGCTTGATTATTTATTTACCGTAATGTTACCACACCCCACCTACTTTTTTTCTTTTCAATTTAAATTTCAAACGTGCCTACAGTTTTTGGGGTTTGCTCAGATATAGCCGTTATCTATTGTTTCCGTAGAACGAAGGGGGCGAAAGTCATTAATTTCGAGTATTCAAAGACCAACGTTGAAATACTGATACATACATTACATACGTAGGTACTTAGCGATTCAAACTGGGCTGGCGCCATCGAACAATTCACCAAATTGGGCCTTTTTTACCTGTATATCGGCAACTTATGATGCAGCTTAATGTATAATTGGTTGCATATACAAATGAATAAGGATAAAATTACAAGAAGGAATCGTGCAAGATCATCCTAGAACAATTTTCAGTTCATCCTGTCTAAGCTTTCGGACACTTATAACTATTCCGTATTCGTGATGTTTCTTTTATATTTGTTTTTTATTAGGATCGCTTTCCCTTTCTGTGCTCTTTCTGCCCATATATGAGAATGTATTTTCTCCGATTTCTTCTACAGTTGTTTTTTTATGCGATTTGGGGGGCTAGGACTAGAATGTCTGTGTTTAATTTTTGGGTTTCTTTTGCACATTCTTTAAGTTTTGTACCGATTGATTGTACAGGGTGTCCTATTAATAAAGCGGTATCTATGGAACCGCTAGGGAAAAGTTTGTAGGGTTGTCGCTAGAGGGCGTGCGATTCATGGTTAAATAGAAAAATGAATTTTTCCCAAAATTACCCAACAAACATGCATAAAAAATGCCTGCATTGCAACCTTGTATGAATTTTACATCATTTTAATGCATCACATATTGTTCTAGCTCATAAAATATTGAGGGGTACAAATTGTGATGCATGTATTTTTTATGCACGTTTGCATAAATCAACAATCATTTTTCTTCTTAACCTTGAATCGTACGCCCTCTAGCGGCAAACCTAGAAACTTGAAAATAATCCAGCGATTTCTCTTGCCTTTTTTTGTTAACAAAATCTTAATCCCCCATGCAGTGCAATTAACCATTCCATACATATGGTCTGTGACCTTTATTATTAGGACACCCTGTACATTCCAGGTTGCACAGTTCATAATCCATTGTCAGGGCCGCCGATAAGGGGGGTCAGCCGAGGCATTTGCCCCGGGGCCCGGTCATATTCTGGGGGCCCGGCCAAAAGAGATTTTGAAACCGGTTTTTTAACAGAAATCTGCATTATCATATTATCTCTATATGAGAGTAGAATATAAAAACATTCACAGCAGAAGATTTAAAAAACCATACCATTGAGCAAAATTTCCTAATTACGGCACAGTGGTAGAAGGCTCGCTAGGTAAAAAACCGTTTGAGATCGACTATATGGGTCAAGATCGTTAGATCAATCTCGGTACATTAGTTCTTGAAGCTCAACTTGCTAGAGAAATTAATTTTGAGCGAGTGATATTCACTTTTGCTAATAAGAAAATCCGCAGAGTTACATTGTAATTTGGTTATTTGAATTCTAACAATTCATCATAAATTCCAAATCTAAGTAGTCAAGATTGCAAATGTCTAGTTTAAGATAAGGGTGATGGACAATAAAAATTTCAATTATAGGGGCCCGGTCAAAAAATATTCCCGGGACCCGTCGAGGCTAACGGCGGCCCTGTCCATTGTCATTGTTGAGTTCGTTTTTTTGTTTTTTCCGTCCGTCCGTATTTTGAAGCTGTGCGAAGTAACGATTTTTCCGGGAGATTAATTTCGAGTCCATCGTACATTTTAGAGAGCTTGCGAGGTTTGTCGTTCGAATATTTTCCATTCTCTAGACCAGCGGTTCTCAACATACATACATAATAATTGAGAAACCGGAATCGTTTATCTCCATGTTTATGGTGAAGTCATATCAGTTGTTTTAAAATAAGGTATGTGTTGTATCACGTATTAATAACCTGAATTGTCTTTGTGTTTCTTTCAACAATCGTTTATATCGTTTGCGTGTCAGACTGTGGGGGTAAATTATAATTCAATTCATCATTAAAATATTCGTTCAAATTTTGTATTAAATTTAAAATCTTTCAGTTACGGTTCGAAACTTACATGGAATTGTTTATTTTATTTAAATTGTAACCTATAACGTGTGCATCATAAATAAAGCATAGGATGTATATTACCTACATTTGAAGGTATAATTCAGGTAACGTATCAATTTTAATGGGATATTGGATGGCATTGATTTAAAGGATCTTCAAGATTCTGATATCAACAAAGTACTCTTAAAGATTACCAGAAGATATCAATGGCTCTAAAGGCATGTGGAGAAAATCCATCTGATGACTCATGAAAACTCTTAAAGTTTCAGGTTACTCTTGAAGGTCATTAAAAGGTTTTTAAGTGCTGTCAGAGACTCTTAAACAATGTAATGTGTCAAGAAGAGTCTTCAAAGTTCCTCTTGATGTCTCTTAAAAACTCTTTAAGTATGTTACATTCTTGAAATACACATAGAGGAATATAGGTACTAGAAAACTTTTGGGTGCTTTTTTTAAGTAACCTGAAAGATTCTTAAATTCTACTAAAGGCTCTAGAGTAGGTACTGTAGAACTTTTAACTTTAAATAGACTTAAGGACACGGTCAAAGAACCTATTTAGTGGTTTCTAACTAATGTTAAAGGCATTTTAAGTGCTGTTAAAGACATCATTGATTAGAATCTTCTTACCCAGCATGCTAAAGTGCAAGCGTAAACGAAATGAGTATTTTACAGTAAAGAAAGTGGTCACGATAGCTCTTGTGTTTTCAGGAAATAGTCTTTAAAACTTTTACCGTTTGCCGCTTTATTTATAATGATATTAGCACTTCATATAAACAAATTAGGTGAACAGCTTTCATTAATAAACTGGTTTTTTTTAGCGTAACTAGCCACTCCAAATGTTTTGCACCTTGGACCATAACGCTTTCGTGGTAACGATTTATTTAAATGCGAGCACTTTAATCCAATAGTGCAATGAGCCGTAAATATTCATCTAAATAAACAAAATTTCAATCCAATCAAAGGACTAGGATCACTTAATTTAAATACAAAATTCCCAATTAATGAACCAAAATAACCCAAATCCTTTGTTTGGATCTGCTTCTTAACAATAAATATAATACTGTTTCATGCAAATAATTCTCATAGGTCGATCCTTTTAGGAATATTAAAATTACTTCATACAAAATTACTACGACCACTACTTTATACAAAAAAAATAATGTAGTCGCTTACGTGAGTAATATTCTCTTGGCAAGTTCGTACGTTCGCGAATCCAAGCAAACTGGCGTCAATGTGGCGTAAGTAATACTCGAGCTCCGCCCATTAAAAATAAAGGAAAGAATAAAATAAAAATAAATTAAATAAAACTAGGTTTTGTTGCAGGTAAATGCACCGATTAATTGTCTTTCAATTCCCTGCCGTATGCCAAAGTTTTATGTATGGTACAATGCGTTAGCCAATGACGTCACTGAACTTTGGGGAACTTCCTTTTACCAACCGTTACTGTTAGCGATCCGAAAAGACTTCTTATTTATCGCAATTAATTTATTTATTAATTAAGTTTAATGTCAATTAATTTAATCCTGTTTTTTATTTAAAAAGCGGATCTCCGACTCAAAAATATTCTTTCGGGCATATTTTATCTTTCGTAAATACGTTGCTACGAATGCTAAAATGTTTTTCTTCGTGCGGGAATTTACTGTAATTCGTCTATTCGCACACATATAAAATTGCAGGTAACTCGCAATTTCTCACAAATCCGAATTTGATGACGCGCTTTTTAACGACGCGATTATAAAGTAGGAAAAACACCGTTGCCTAGAAAATATTTATTCAAAATAAAGCTTGTCAAACTTACCTTTATTAATAATTTTTCACTAAACATACGATTCCAACGTGTAATATGTTTAAAATTATTTTAGGTAGAATCCCTGTACCTGAAACCAGCAACGGTGTGCCTGTTCAAGATCTGACAACCGCGCTCGTAACCATTTTTGAAACAGACTGCTTGCGCTACCTCCGAACGGTTCAGCAACGCACAAGGTAGGTGCCTACATTATATTTATATGAATTCTCATTCACAAATATTTCTGATGCTGCTTACGAATTGTTAAGCTCTGTTTGCAACATTATTTTCCATAACGGATGTACCGTAAGGGACGCCTGTGTGGTTAACATTTGCGTCAATTTATATTAGAAGCGTCTGCTGGTGCGAAACCTAGCGTGAAGCTATCTACCATAATTCTTCAGTATACACTCGTCTGAGCAAAATGCCGGTATCTGTCCCCATGTTATGCAAATTCCCGCTAGTTTGCTCATTAAAGGTTTGTTTAAACTGTCGTTTTCATCTGCTAAACTAACCCACATTCAGTTTTGTTTAATTTAATTGATATAGTATGTACAAAATTTGACGATACCTCTAATTAATCTTCCGCGCTCTTGGCGGATGGCCTGGCAAGGTGGCTGCTTAGTGTCTATGCTCTTTCTACTTTTTACTTCGCTATTTATGCAACCGAGCAGAAAACCCACTACGGTTCCAACGCAAATCTTGCGACCAGCGTCCCCTCTCAGCCAATTGCCAGAAACTGAACGGTTATAGTCATCTTGGTAAAAGTCCACGCATGCTAAAACACGTCTTTTCCCTTTTAAAGCTCCTCGCGTCTTCGTACAGTATTTTACTCACATCTAAAAATTCGAACAAATTTAACTGCCCTTAGCGGGCTCCCGTTACAATCTTGTTTGACAAGTAAATTTGTATAGGGAAAGGTTTTATTAATTTTTCTTGATTTACAAAAGACAAATGGCAAACATTTTTTTATATCGATGTACAATGCAAAAATCAACTCCCCTATGAAGTATTAGTTTTTCCTCAAAGTAAAACAAGCATTGCGTGTTCTTTCTAACCTTTGCACATTTCGAAAAGGTGCTTCTGCATATCACCGCCAATTTGCTAATGATATGTTGCCGTCCAATTAACCGAAAAACAGGTCAGCCTCGCCTGCTGCTAACAAGCGACT